TGGAAAAATAATGATGGCTCTGGAGACAGGTCTTTGACATGGATAGAGGTTAGAAACCAGGAGCCTTCTTAGGAAGACATTATGACCTACAATGCTCTGACCAACAATGGTGAGAGCCCAAACCGAAGAAGAAAAATAGTTTTAAAGAGAAGGCTTTGGGTTTGAAGCATTTGGGGGAGGTAAATGATGCTACCAAATTGGTAAGTGAGTGGATGTGGTGTGGAAGAAAGCACCTAAGACTGTCCAGATTTCTGACAAGAAGTAGATCAAAGGCAGCATTAACAGAAAACAGGGCAGTGGCGTTTGAATAGCCTGTCTGACATTCAGTGAGATGTCAGCAACTAATCAATAAAAAGGGGAAATCAGAGTTTGGGAAAACAAACATGATTCAAAAAATTTCTGTTTATGTGAGTAAACAGTAAACCAGTAGACAGACGGAAACCTCTACATCTGTAGCCTGTCATCCTTAGAATGCTCTGCAGGTCTCCTTTATAAGATTTAAACTAGGACGTGGCATATGTGAAAATATGTGTAGAAAGATGAGAGAAAATAATATGAGAGAAAGATAATTTACTTGTTTTACTGGCTCCATTTTAAAGACAATTGCTCTTTAACGGACTCAGGCATCTTTCTTAAGATTTTTTTTTTTTTTTAAGTACAGTGGACAGGGAAGAAAAACAGAAGGAAGAAAAGGGAAAGATGTTTTATTTGGAATTGGATCTCAAATAGCAGGCAATAGTCTGATAGGCCGTGCTTATTAATACACCCACACGACAGGCTATACTCGGCTGTGGAATTGCACCACGGAGAGTGTGAGAAATAATACACACTTGAACAGTTGTTCCTAAATCCCTATCTTGAGGTGAAGGGCTACTGCTGTAGCCACTGCTCATCCCCCATCTGTTAGCATCAGTTTCATTGTCCAAGCTCCCTGCTTATTCCACATGCACTGAGAACCTGTGTGTAATTAAGGAAGGCCCAGAGAGGTCCTGGGGACTTAAATCAGTCAGGTGAAGGTCTCACAACATAGGAGCCTCACTGAGAGACTGTGCTCTTCCATGCAGAGGGACATACCTCCTGAGCTTTCCCTGCTAGAGGAAGAGCAAGGGAAAGGAGCCCGTGTAGTGACCTAAAGTATCCTTCTGCTTTGGCGGAGCAGCAGTATTTGAGTGTATAGAGGAGTTTCAGGTCCTAAGAATGGGGAAACTCAGGGAGGATTCGGGAAGGCTCAATGAAAGTCACCAAGGGGTTCATGACTTTCAATAAGCACTGGAGAATAATTGTGAGGTATTAGAGCGAGGTCTTTGCACCTCTGAGAGAAGATCCAGAAAATACTGGTAACTTGAGAACAACTAAACACCAAACATCCTAGTCAGGAGAATGGATTCACAAACTCCTACTTGGACAAAGTACTGAACAGGGAAAATATATTAGTCTTAACTGATGTGGCAAAATTTCTATATGCATTTTAAGTATCAGAAGATATTTTTCATTTTAACAAAATACTGTTTTTATAACGTGGTCCCACTAATATTAAAGATCAACTCAGCGGGCCCAGCGAGTTAAAGCACAGCACTAAGAAGCTAAAGCCACTTCAGCATGAGTTCTATCCTGCCTTGCAGGTTATCCATGTGGCGTGGTAGACCTCTCCTGACCCTCCCACTGCTCCCCTTAGCTACTTCATCAGTGTACTGCTCCCCACTCTGGTGAATCCTCTCACCGCCCCTGAACCTCTAGCCTGTACCCCAGTTCTGTATGCATAAACAAACAAAAGATCAACTCAGCAATAGTGTCAAAAAATTGCAAATAGATATTGTTATAAGACCATGTCAAAATATAAAAGCTGACTGATGGTAATTTTATATTCCTAAAAGAAAGAGTTTGTGTTTTTTAAAAATAATAATAATGGCCCTCCCTGGTGGTGCAGCAGGTTAAAGCACAGCACTGAGAATCTAAAGCCGCTTCCGTATGAGTTCGATCCCCACCTGCCCTGGAAGTGACCACATGGCGTGGCAGACCTTTCCTGACCCGCCCGCTGCTCCCCTCAAGAGTGTACTTCATCCATCTGCCTGTTCTGCTCCCCACTCTGTCTCTGGTGAAGCCTCTCACCGCCCCTGAGCGTCTGGCCTGTACCCCAGTTCTGCATGCACAAATAAATAAATCTTTAAAAATAATAATAATAATAATAATAGTATATTTTTACATCATTTTATGCATTTTTCCATCTCAGTTGTAATCCCTGTGGGCTTCCCATCACCAAATAACCCATGTGCCATCACCATAGTCCAGTGCATTTCCCTCCCCCCACTGTTTTTGATCCCATTCACCACTCCACCCCCACAAAATGTCTCTGGTATATAGCTGTTCATTATTATTATTTTTATTTTCTCACCTGGTCCGTTATACACCTGCTATGAGGGAAACCATCCAGTATTTTTCCTTTTCTTTCTGGCTTATTTCACTAAGACTGATCTTTTCCAGCTCCATCCATCTTGCTGTAAAAGGTATGTGTTTATTTTTTTTGTTTTGGTTGCTTAGTAATATTCTATTGTGTACAAGTACCACATCTTTTTAATCCAGTCATCCACTTTTGGGCATTTGAGTTGTTTCCATGTCTTTCCATTGTAAATACAATAGCAATACGTGTTTTTTTGTTTGTTTGTTTGTTTTTGTTTTTTTAAGATTTGTTTATATATGCATAGAAAAACTGGGGTGTAGGCCAGAGGTGTGAGGGATGGGTGGGGTGAGAAGATTCACTAGAGACAGAATGGGAAGTATTCTGCTAAGGGAGCAGCAGGCAAGGCAGGAGAGGTCTGCAGCACCATATGTGGGTCACTTCCCTGACTGGGGATCAAACTCAGGCTGCAGAAAGTATGTGTTTTTAATGGACTGACATAATGAATGTTTCTACATACACGTGGTTCTGGTTCTCTTATAGTCAAAGTTTCCTCTTACAAGTTGGACATCTTGCACCCTCCCTGGGTTAAAGTGGGTTAAAGCACAGCACTAAAAAGGTACTAATGCCACTTCAGCATGAGTTTGATCCCCACCCACCTCCAGGGTGCCACATGGCACAGCAGACCTCTCTTGACCCACCTGCTGCTCCCCTCAGCAGTGTACTTCCTCGATCTGCCTGTTCTGCTCCCCACTCTGTCTCTGGTGAAGCCTCTCGCCACCCCTGACCCTCTGACCTGTACCCCAGTTCTGTATGTACAAATAAATAAATCTTTAAAAAAAAAAACAAAGGAAGTTACAGAACAGAATGAAATTAAAACATAATGGTGGACAGAAAGTGAAAATTTCAACCACTGCTCAGGCAGCCTAGTAATAAATTAACTATCCACAAAATGTAACTTTAAGCAAGCGCAAGCTACCCCTCTTCCTCAGCAAAATAATGAATTTTAAGAGTTAAATTTCAAAATACACATTTTGTATCTCAACAAATTCATCTGATGAGCTAGGGGAAAATATCTGTGAATGTACAGTGTTTATCCTGAATCTCATTTATAGAAAATTACTATGCACTATTTTAATGTACATCACAATTAGCACTATAACTAAACTTTTGCCAACCTGCCATAGAAAAAGTGAATTAGGTGATGATGCTGAAAGCTCAGGTTGCAATATTTGATGTAGAAATGTCAGATACAAGTAATTTCAATTTCACAAATCAAACATAAACCTTTGAAATCTTGTAACCTTTCTATGTTATTCCCATTTGCTACTCGCAAAAAGGGATTAAAAACAGCTCTTCCATACCACCCCACAATATTGAGGGGAAAAGAAAGGAAATAAGATCAAAATAGTTAAACATTTACTGTTAGATTAAATGTGCTGAGATAATGATAAAACTTTCATATACAGTATTTGAATTGTTCCTTAGGTGAGCAAGGCAGACATTCCTCACACTATCTCCCTGGGAAGCAGCGGTTCCTATTTCCCAAGGTTGCTAGGGAAGATTAAATAAGATGATCTATGAAAAAAAGCTTTGTGTTTTTTGTGGGCAGCAGAATTCAAGGACAAAGGCCATTTTTAGAATTAGAGCAAATGATTAGAAAGGAAAAGGAAGTAATTGGGTGAAAATAAATAGGATTTTTCTACTTACTACTGTCATATGTGCAATAATAATAAATTGGATGGTTTTACCACTTAAAAATTCATTTTTACTTTTGTAGCATAAGGAATGTTAAGTAAACGTCATACCAATGGAGGAAATGCGAAAATGCCAATGCAGGACACTAGTACTTAGCTCTGTAAAATATAAAAGGGACTCAACTATCATGCCCAAGATTTCCCACCTCTTCCGGTCCAACCAAAGGTTAGTCAACTAAGAAAAAGTGGTCTTTGGAATTGGAAAGCTTGATCCCTCTCCAGCTATATAACCTCAGGCATTTCAAATCTGATTTTTCACCTATAAAAATGTGTAAAACTGTTAGAGGATTTAAGGAATACACTGGCGGTGGTCAGCGGGTGGGAGTCTCCTCTCCCTCTCCATCTCAAAGCCTTTGCTGACCACCCCAGCAAATTGGGGAAATGCAGAGATCACTTATAATTTCCAGAATTTATTGCCTGGAAAGTTCACATGGAAATGAGTTACACATGACTTTGTGATATATAAGTTATTGTAACTGAAAAGACTGCCCCACTTTTCATGTTGGTGGTGATTTTGCAACCAGATATATTTGCTTCAAATCAGCAACACATCATCTCCCTGGGCAGCTGCAGTGACCCCTGAGCAAGGTTGCTGAGTGGCCCTGCTGCCTGAGGGGAGTGGGAAGAGGGGTAGGCAGAGAGGATGAAGGAAAGGCACAGAGTTCTGTGACAGGACATGAGAAATGCAGCTGCCTCTAGAAGTCTCTCAGCTTGTGACCTGGAGGAAATCAGCCATCATGATCCACATCCTCCCAAACCTCCCATTTACCAGGTGCTGGTGGGGTACAGCATCTAACAGCAAGGAGAGGGAATAGAAAGAGTGTATTCGGTGGGGCAAGCTCACATACCTGGATGAGATAGTGGGAACATAAATTGAGAAGTTCCAACAGCTGTAGGTGACTGCCAGCTGCTAACACATCCTGGATCACGCCTGGCTCCAACAAAATCTGTGTGTTTTTTTTTTTAATAAAAAGAAAACTATCAGTTACTTTAGAATGCATATAATAATTGCTTAATATATATGTGTACTATTTTTATATTGATACTTAATACATGATGTCTACATTCACATGATTCCTTATTATGAATTCAGCTCTTTTTTTATTATTATGATTAGTGAGCTGTGGTTCTTACTCTCACAGGTGAGTTTTCATTTCCAATACTCATTCCCTGCATGTAGGCTCTTAGCCACACTTATTTTTGGAGGAGAATATGAACATTCTGAAGGAACAATGTAAGTATCAAATTCAAATTATAATAGATGAAATCATAAAATACAAAATAACCGAATTTTGGTTTTTCAAACTTCTGCTCTTTAGTAGATCACAGAAACAGTGTGGTTAACAAGGTACATTAGGGAAAAGGAGTGGGTGTTTCACCTTGCAAAAGTGAGGCCTGAGATGAATATTTCTCCAATTTATCTCTAAGTCCTACAACAGTAAAATTCAGCCACAAAACCATTTTTCTCCTTCTAATTTCAGAACCTATATTCTTTTATATGCCAAATAAAAGATGGACAAAGAGTATTGTCAGCTTCTCAAATATACTGTTGATACTAATATTTTTCTGGCTCAATTCAACTTTATGCTTTCATATTGTCAGTTCTTAAGCTGCTGAAGAGGTCTAGAGAAAAACACAACTGTACTAATAAAGTTCACTTTATATGCACAACTACAAGGTACAAAAGGCCCTTTGTGCTGTCATTGCCATCCTAACACACTTCCTCAGACCAGAGTTCCCAGAGTCTATTTGCTGGGCCAAACAGCAGCATCACCTGGGAACTTGTGAAAATTACAGATTCTTGGGAATTTCACCAGACTTAACTAAATCAGAAACTTTCAGCGTGAAACCAGCAATGGGTGTTTAAACAAGCCCCCTTGGTGGTTCTGAGGTACAGGGAAGTGTGGAAAACACTGATGTAGTTATTTCACTCTTCTACTCCAATACTGCTCACATCCAGTTTTGTTCCCATTCATTGTTTCTATAAAAATGCTCTTGTTGGGCCTCCCTGGTGGTGCAAGTGGTTAAATCTCAGTGTATGAAGCTATCTGTAGCCACTGCAGCACAAGTTCAACCCTGGCCAAGGAGGTGACCCACATGCAAAGCAGACCTCTCCTGTCTTTCCTGCTGTTCCCCTCAGCAGTGTATTTCAGTACATCTGCCTGTTCTGCTCCCCACTCTATCTCTGATGAATCCTATCACACCTCATACCTCTGTACCCCAGTTTTTGTATGCATAAATAAATACATCTTTGGAAAAAATAAAATGCTCTTGTTAAGTTCATCAGTGATTTCCAAATCCAAGGGTCAAATCCAATGGTCATTTCCCAATACCAACTCTTACTGGAGCAGAAGCAGAAAGCAAAATTGATGACTCTCCCTCAGACAATTTCTTCCCTCACCTCAGTGACAACATCAGTCTCCTAGTTTCTTCTGCTTCATTAGCCAAGCCCCTTTGGCATCTTCTTCCTATCTTCTAAGTTTGGATATCGAAATTCAGTCCCCAGACCTCTCCTTTCTCTCTCCCCTCTCATCCCATGGATGCCATTTCAATCCAGTGTCTTTAAAATTATCTACATTGGTGATACTTGAACTTATTTCTCCAGTCCAAATCTCACCTTAAACTCCTGTCACTTATATTGAACTGCTTGTTCATTACTCCCATGTCCAGTGAACGGTTCAAATTGAACCCCTGAGGACTCTGTTGGTTCTTATTTCAGTGAGGAAAGAACTTGAGGAAAGAATTCAATGTCAAGATCAGAGTTAGTAAGCAAAGCAAGAAATTTATTGATAGATAAGAGGAAGGACAGGAAAGCTCTCTGACCAGAGAAGGTCCCTGGTAGTGGTAGACACTATGGTGGCAAGAAGTAGGTTATCATATGGGTACAGTGGGCAAGTAGAGGGGGTGTGGCTATTGGGTATCTCACGTTGTGTCTTTTGCTGATTGGTTGGTGCTGTTGGGTCTCCAAGGTTACTGAGGCCCCCTGAGTCTTCCATGTTACCTGGCTTGTCCTCCTATAACTAGCTTTGGTCTATTAATTGTGTTGATATTCTGAACATTTTAAACATTCAATTTTTCATTGGGTTGGGGGCACCCTGACTCCACTTATTGTTTCTCAATCTGACTGATATATGAACTTGGGACACCTGGATCTAAAGGACACCCTTCTGGACCCAACTGTTTCTCAGTCAGTTTAACAAATGGGCTTAGGACTCTTGGGTTTGGGGGGGCATCCTCCTGGTTCCCATCAATTGTCCCTTAATTAGGCTAAAAATGATTGTACAACACATGGGGTTAGAGCACCCTAAATTCCTAACTGACTACCTGTACCCATGTCCTAACTTCTTCATTCACCAGCCCTTAGAAGATGCCCAGCTCTTAGCTGTCATTTGATATTATTTTATAATAAATTATTGATTCATTGCATTGGTATATTTTAAATTCAGAGTAATAAGATAAAACAATCTAATATAAGAGGAAAAGGTCTATAAATGATATTTGAGTTAGTAAAGAAGTGAAAATGTTAAGTACTTGTAACAAAAATATCAAACCCTCAACTGATTCTGATTATTATTTATAGCTCCTTTGCCACTAGTCAGCAGGAGAAAGCTGAGTTTCTCCAACTCCTCAAGGAGGCAGGCTTTGATTGACATTCAGGAAATTATTGCAGCTCCCATCACAGGAGCAAGGATGTAGCATATTCTAGCAGAAGAGGCATGGCCCAAGGCACAGGATGGGGAATAGATGGATTAGAAAGGTTAGTTTTAGCCTTTAAATCCTGTCAGTTGTGCTCATTCCACACAACTGGCATTCACGATAACCTCCAAGGCGCGGTCATGCCAAACACAAAGGCGGATCTCACAGAACGACAAGATGAATATTCCACACATGTGTGAAGTCTGTCCAACAGACTCACTTCGCTAAACCTTCACATGAGAAACCCACATCAGAAATGTTTTATCTTTGTTCCTTGTGTGTGTGCTGTAGGGTTCTTTTCTTCTCTCATTACAACATAAGTTCTAAAAGGTGCTTTAGTATATACAATCCCTAAATGCCTTTAAAAGGCGTGGTTTGGGGAGGGAAAAAAGAAAAATGTCTAACAGGAGAACTGGGTCTCACTTACAGAGGCAGAATCAGTGTTTGTGAACCTTCCACTTGCACTGATTTTGTAAATTCAGCACTGTTGATCTTTGATGCCTGGCTGTCAAAATATATAAAAATATATTTTTACAGAGCATTTGCATTTGGGCATGAAGCAAATAAAGAGTCTGTCTCCTCACAACTTAGAGCATAATGAATTTGCCCAACACCTGTCCAGAATAAATGGCCAAAGAATAGTCTGTATCAGGAAGGGAATGCCTTACACATGTGGAGAGAACAACTCAGGCAGCTAGGTGTGAGTGCTCCAAAGTATATGTTGGTTACATTAGGTCTTTCAGAAACATACACCCATTAACATCTAGCCCAGAACCCAAGCAAAGCAAACAGGTCAAGGACCACCTACGAGAAGTGAGCATAATGTGGGAGCTCAGTGTTAGAGACTTGACACACCCAGTAACTCATCAAACTGGAGGAGTTGAGCTTAGAGGCATCAATAGTGGACATCTCTGTTAAAAAAAAAAAAAAGATGAAGAAATGCAGCATTTATGAAACTAAGTGATCCAGAATGTGGTGGGGAAGATAAAAGTCATTAAAGAAGCCACACTGGGCTAGGCATTGCCTCTTTCCTCAGAGAAGCTCACTTGCTTGGGTGGAGGCAGAGCTAGGGCTTCTCCAGTGTGGACAGAGATTCTGAGGCAATCTAAGGTGGGACATCAATACCTCTTGTTCACTGGGTCACCTGTATGGACTATTCTTTCCCCAGTATCCACTCACACCTGTCCTCCAGGTGAAAGAATACTGGAAGCTGGACCTGAAAGAAGGGAGGTGGATCATGCTAGCCGGGGAAGTGACCATTCTTTATGGTGCCTTTCCCAAGTACGAGAACTGAGAGGAGGTGCCCAGTTGACCACTGCCCCCAAATACTGAGACTCTGTACTCATTTTGATTAACAGGATAAGAACTACCTTGTGGCTGTGGTCAGAGTGATGCTCACAGAGGCGAAAGTCACAATTTCAGTAGGAGGGGGAGGTAGCTTAAATTTCAACTTAAAGATACGCAGCGAGAGTTACTACATCAGAATTCAGTCGTGATGCGGTCCACTGCCACACTGGAAGGCAGCACGCAAATACTTAGCAAAATGTGTCCTCTGGTCACCAGTCCAAGCAGAGTTGTAAGTACAATAGATGGCTGAATTTCTATAATCTCTAATGAAAGGATTCTTTAAGTCAAAAGGCGATAAGACTGGGGCTTCTTGTCCCAACAAAATCCTTGGCAAGACATGAGGTCAGAAACTCATGAAGGAGGAATATGGAATCAGAAGTGGGACTGCACAGAGCATGATGGGTGGCCATCTCTGAGAGTGCCCAGACCTCACAGGGTTGGGCTCGGGGCACCAGGGAGAGGACTGACACAGCTTACAGATGCAGAGGCATCTCTGTCTTTGTCTCCTGGGCTCCTCCTCCCCAATCACCAAGTATCTACCCTCTCAATTCTGTGTTGTTCTTTTTCTTTCCTTTAGTTGTCCTCCTATGTTTACCTTTCTTCTGGGCTTGACTACTGGGGACTGTCTTTGAAATACCTGATGAGTGTCAATGTGCCTTTTTATCTGCCTGTAACAGGTGAGTTGGCATCTTCAGAAAATTGTGTATCCCAGTTCTTCAAATTTCTTGCTTTAAGAGCCTTTTAAGTTGCTAGATTCTGGGTTTGTGGAATGAGTAAACTGAAGGAGCTGAACATGTTAGAGCCAGCCAACAAAAATCTTTACTAAACATACACCACTGTACATGGGAACACAAGCACTTTTACAAGCACTTGTATAACTGAAAATGTGATGTGATCTGATATT